AGTATTATACGTTTTTCACCAACGAGAGTTTTTATTCCCAAGAACCATTCGGGAACGCACTTATCTTCAATACGAATCCGCTTACAAGATTGGCAATCCGCTCTTGCACTGAAATGTCTTCAACATCAAAAGTTATCATGTCATCAACATACACAGCAATGAAACTCTTTTTCCTAGGATGATAAAATAAACAGGAATCTACAGACCTTCTTAAGTAACCAAGTTCCAATAAATTTTTTGTTAGAAACTGAATCCAAGCTCGACTCGCTTGTTTTAAACCGTAAATACTTTTATTGATCTTGCATACATCTAGTTCACCAGACTCAAAACCACGAGGTTGTTCAACGAAAATTTCATCCTCTAAAGTAGAATTCAAAAAAGCTGTTTTGACATCAATTTGTCGCATTTTAAACCATGCTGTGCTGCATTGGCAAATAGGGAGCAAATAACTGTCACACTAATAGTAGGAGAAAAAATATCAGCATAATTTTGTCCATAAATTTGACAAAATTCCTTAGCCACATAACGTGCCCTATATCGTTGAATTGAACAATCGCTTTTGCGCTTTATACCAAAAACTCATTTGCCTTTCGTGAATGTATTTCCAGAAGTTAAAGCCACAAGATCCCATCTTTTATATTCTACAAGACTTTTGAATTCGTTTTGCATTGCAGCTTGCCAATTTTCAGCATCAGCTGACAAAATTTTATCCTCATAATTAAGTGTAACATTGCCATTGACGCTAGCAGCCATTGCAAAATTACTGTTTTCATCAGTAGAAAAATCCTAATCGTAGTGCCATGCAGGTCTTCGAGTTATCCGACCAGTCCTATTAGTTGTAGGTTTTCAAGTCCCAAAGCAGTAGAATGCTCTTCATCACTCACAGTTTGTTCTCTTAATTTAGATGATACAGAACGTTTTGGTAAAAAAATGTATCGAACTGTCAGGAGTGGGGGAAGTAATATTTTGCAGATTGTCTGCAGTTGGAGTGTGAGGAGAAGCTTCCACATAATTAAGTGGAACATTGCCATTGACGCTAGCAGCCATTGCAAAATTACAGTTTTCATCAGTAGAAAAATCATAATCGTAGTGCCATGCAGGTCTTCGAATCATCCGACCAGTCCCATTAGTTGAAGGAATGTCAAGTCCCAAAGCTGTAGAATGTTTTTCATTACTCACTGGTTGTTCTCTTGATTTGGATGATATAGAACGTTTTGGTAAAAAATGTATCGAACTGTCAGGAGTGGGGGAAGTAATATTTTGCAGATTGTCTGCAGTTGGAGTGTGAGGAGAAGACTCAATGGCATCAGATCAAATTCATCGTGAGTTGTGTAATTTTCACGTGTATCTAAGTAGATTGGAGTATCTTGAATCTCCATTTGCACACTATGAGGACTAGATGCTGAAGATACTCTTTGAGAAGTATCAATAGTTGTAGAGATAGCTCCTCTGTCGGTGATAACGGCTGTTCAAGAGTAGGCAAAACTTCTTTTGCATCAGTTGCATTTGTTTGAGCAATATTGACAGCCCCCACTGGATCATGGCCCGGAAAAGGCAAAACAATAGCAGGCCTTGATCCGTTATCGAGACCCGTAACCTGTTCTTCGTGAAAGGTCACATTTCGAGAGCGATAATTTTTTTTCACAAAATCATAAAAAATATATGCAGTACTTGAACTGTCATAACCAAAAAGAACTGCCTTTTTACCTTTGTGTAATACCTTGCGCTAGTGGGTTTCAATTTTTGATATACATAAGCAACCAAAAACGTTTGAATGATGAACAATTGGTTGCTTTCCAAAAATCTTTTCGTTAGGTGTTTTATCATAATTAATAGCAGACGTTAGTACACGATTTCTTGTGTATACTACAAAATCAACTGCCCTTACCCAGAAAGATTCTGGTAACTATGACGATAATAAAAGAGCCCGTACATTGTCAACAAACGTTCGCCAATAGCGCTCGGCTATACCATTTTGATGAGGAGAATAAGGACTAGTAAACTGCTGGGCAATGCTGTTATTCTTTTAAAAATTTTATAATTTGCGTGATATATACTTACCACCATTATCTGACCTGAGGGAAAATCCAGTTACATTACATGGTTGGACCACCGTATTAAGAAAAATTTTTAGTTTTGCTAACGAATCGTCTTTTGAAGCCATAAAATAAACTGTTGCATATCTTGAAAAATCGTCAAAAAAAGATATTGCATATTTGTTTCCATGCAATGATTCCGGAAAAGGTCAACAAGCGTCACTGTGAACTAGTTCAAATTTTCGTGTTGCCTTAACTTGAGGGTTCTTAGATATGTCAGACGTACATATCTTACATTCTGAACACGTAGTACACTAAACCGGAAGTAACCATGCCTTTTACTGCTTGATTTGCAGTTTTTTTTAATGTTTCACAATTTGCATGTGAAAACCTTGCATGCCCCTTAGCAATAGACAATGCCGTTATATTCGGCTCTTCTGCACTATATTTAAACCAAAAAAGGCCATCTCTTTCAATAAATTAAGCTTTTTTTTGTCCCGCATGTATGTGCGGATTTTGGTTAAAATCACTGTGTTTCCTTGCTTAACTAGAAGTGAAACTGATATCAAAAGAAATATGAAGCTCGGCACATACAATGCTCGCTGGAGATTAAACGTGTACTTAGCTTTATTACGATCGTAGAATGGGACGTAAACTTCTCCAACACCATGTACTCTCTGTTGCGTCCTATCCCCATTAGTAATAAACACCGCACTTCCGTCCCCTTCCAGCATAGAAAGCGTCTTGAGCCTCAATTTGTCTGGAATGAAATGGTTCGTGCATCCGCAGTCTATTACAATATCCATCGACCCATTAGAAGTTGCAGTTAGTACAAACCCAAACGGTACAAGCCTTTAGTACAAGCCTTGACGGTTGCTCGAATTTTGCTTGTTTACATGCTGCTTTGCATAGCACCTCTCAGTAGTGTGATTGATACGTCCGCACTTTGTACAGTTCAAAATTTTCTTGTTTCCTTGTTCAGTTCCTGCATTGTATCGTCCTCGGCCAGTTCTATGACTCGCTGGAGCCGTAATGGACGTAGAACTCGTATCTTGTTTGTTTGAGCTCCCCCCAAGTGATCGTTCAATCAGTCGCTCTTTCAATTGTAGATACGATATCTGCTAGAACTGTATTGCAGCTAATAACGAGTCGTATTCTTGTGGCAATGCTTTAAGAACTATGGCTTCTTCAGTTTATCGCTGATCTTTTCATCGCCAGAGTGTAGTTTGAACAAAATGTTGTCCACTTTATTTAGAATTTATATCATCGATTTACCGTTCTTCTTGAGTTCCAGAAACTCCTGTCAAAGCACAATGATTTGGCTTGTTCGATTATGCCCAAATGATTTTTGCAAGAATTTCCATATTTCGAATCCATTCCTGTTATTCTGAGCAGTGATCGTCTGCAAAGTAGCATCCTTGAGATGCATAATGATTTCCTGAAACAACTTCCTCTGAACAGCATCTCTGTTGGCTTTGCTAACTTTTTCAGATTCTACATCTAGGTTTTTATTTTCAATATAAGCTAGGAATCATTCACGACACACAAGAAAATTTTCGGGTTTTCCATTGAAATTGAGCAGATTATTTTGGTCGCCCCCAGCAAATAGTAAAAACACACTGAACTATGACGAATGAAATCATATGTTTACAGCAATTCCAAAACTAAAACCCAAATGTGATGGCTTTATTGTAAGTTGATAGTTCAAATTTCCTCGATTAAACTGGTGTAGTATTAAATCTAAAAACCAGTTGAGATGAATTTTTGATTTTAACATGCATTGAAAAAAATCATCTAGGTCAGAAAATCTATTCGACACCGCTGATACAGGTATACTTGATTTGATCTTTGTTACAAAAATTAGTCATTAACTGATATTCGAAAAATTGACGATCAAAGCAATGCCGCGAAATTGTCAAATCGTTACCCTATAAGAATGAATTACAAAATTGAATCGTCATGCCTGCATAAACGTGATTATGTCAATCAGTACAAACTAAGCTATTGCAAAGTAGATTAAAAATATTGAAATCAGCCAATTTTTGAAAAGCCGTTTCATACTTATTGCTGGTCAAATCCCAATGTTATTGTTGACCATTGATACCAATGGTTGGTAACTTTCTAGCCAGAACTATATCACAAAGCAACAAACAAAGAGCATCTTTACCACCTTGGATTAGTCAATGAACATCCCATATCAGAAAATGTTTGAAAACGGCTCAGAAAAAACATGATGGGTCTCCCAAAAAAAAAACAAAAAACTTTAGAATTAACAACAGAAGGGCTTGCTGAAAAAGATAAAATAGCATTTGAGCAAATACTAGCAACGGAAAAGCGTACCGGAATTTTTAAAAAATATTTCAGGGCTTTTCGGAGTGAACACGTGGACAAATCATGTCTAAAAGCGAATAGAGTCTTATTTATGATAAAATGAAACACATCAAATTTGCACTGGAAAGTATAAATGAACCAATAAAAAATCAATGGTACTCCCAGTAGTACTATATGCAAGTCCCTGTCTCGACTTAAACAATTCTGTGATGTCACAATTTGAAATCAAACAGTAAAGGGCTGTTAATTGGATTTTGAACACAAATGCTTCATACAAAGAAAAATTAAGACAGCTCCAACTTCTGCCTTTGCCGATGTATAAACAATTGAACAACTTGTTATTATTTGCGAAAATTATACTGCATTTGCTTGATATCTATAGTTATCCAGATCTCTCCAGCATACCTATAACTGGTAAAGAGATCATTGAAAAAAAATGCGAATAGAATATTTTATATCAAACAACTCGTCCTAGGACTGATTTAAGTCACTGGGTTAGTTTGAAATGTGACCTAATCAAGCTGCTTTGGAAGAATATTAAGCTTTATGACGAAAGAAACAAATGCAGATTGAAGCTTGCATGTGACTGCGCGATGTACAACTGCAAAAGTCTTTTGGTGATCTGAAACGAGTTCATTGACTACTACTACTACTACTACTACTACTACTACTACTACTACTACTATTACAACAACTACTACTCTTACTACTACTACTACTCCTACTACTACTACTACTACTACTACTACTACTACTACTACTACTACTACTACTACTACTACTACTACTACTACTACTACTACTACTACTACTACTACTACTACTGCTACTGCTACCAGCAATTACTACTTCTACTAATTTTAATAAAAACTAAATTCAACGTTCGAATTATCATAGTTATTGTAAAAAACTTACAAAGAGATGTGATCTGTTTGATGTTTGTGCCTGTTTGTCGGCGCCCTTTTGAGGGATTCTAGAGACACGTCTGTAGAATGGGTGTTCGATGATTCGCCACTTGACCTCCTTAGCTTGGGTGATATGGTTTCTTGTCAACGTTTCTTAGATTTTGTATTTTGCTTCAAAATGAATTTTAAACAACTTTTTTCTTTTTCTAAAAATTCCTCAATTTTTTCTTCATCCAACCTTATTATTCTTGGTTATTTTTTAATCCCTCTGTGTCCAGTGCAATTTTTTATATATATATTTCTCCACCGCGCCATCAGGACAAGGAAAAAAAATAACAAGTGTACCAGTAAAAAACGTCTAAAACATTCCGGAATCTTTAATTGGACTAGTTGTGATTGTTGTTCTAATTGGTATTAAATCAATAGTGTGAATGTAACTCTTAGCGATACTAGAAAGATCCAATACTTTCAATGTCCGGTATGTGTTAAAAAAAAATGTGTCAAAAAAATTAACAATTAGTATTGCTTCTGTGCTAGATAATTAAGTAAAAACAACCATTTCCATTGTTCGAGTGTTCAAGAGAATATCTAAGGACTCGCGTTTTCCATTGATTGAACGTGTTTTGAAAACAATGAACAATTTGACAATGCAGAAAAAGTTACTGATTGGCTGGTTTTTTGACGTTTTTTTGGTTTTTTTTCTGTAGAACAACCCAACGAAGTGCTCGTAAACAAGCAACATCTATGAGCTCTATATTGAACAAAAAACAAGAAGCCGATACTGTTTAACTGCCTAAAATCTTTTCAAAAGGTCCAGCGTCTTCCAGGGAGATCTCGAGTAGAGAGTAAAGCTAATCAACAAAAGTTCGATGATTGAAACATTACAATAGGAACAAAGCAGGAAGCTTCAGATGACAAGATTGCACATGATTCGACTTTTATCTAGATGAAATTGGTATCTTAGCACCCAAAAATGGCTGATTTAAGCGCCCCCAACACGGAAAACATCAATAAATTTGTTGTAAGTGAGTTAGAACTTGTTTCCCAAGTTTTGAAGACCTTACTTTTGAAGCAAACGACAATGCAGCGCTCAATTTCTTGAAATCGCTCACTAAGGTTCTAAACCTTATGGAGAAGGTAAAGTATCCGAACCTTTCCGAGCGTTCTTTTTTTGGAGCTAAATTTTTCGAGCTTATAAAAACAGACGGAGGTTTGCAACCGATTGGCATCGGCAACACGTTCAGACGCACTACCTCTAATTACGTGTGAAGCAACGTTTTTGGGAGTTTTTCAAGTAGGTTGCGGTACTAAAAGTTGAGCTAATAATGCTGTGTACTCCTTCAAAAACTTGTGATGACAAACCGAAAAGCTAAGTCGTACTTAACTAAGATTACAATAATGCATTTAATGCGCTTAATAGAGAAACTATGCTTAGTCACGTTATTTTGAACAGCTCGGAGTTGTACAAGTATACTAAAAACTCCTACAGTAAACCGAGTTATTTTTTAACGGAATATCAATCATTTTGTCGGAGGATGGAACACAACAAGATGACCCGGAGGTTTCCTCGCTGTTTCCTGAAACAATACGGGCGCTGGTGAAAAGGCTTGAACCCAAAATATACGTTTAGTGCTTAGATGATGGAATTTTAGCTGACGATTATATCCTTGTGCTCCGAGAACTTTAAAACATACTGAAAATGGCCAAAAAGTATAATAATGCAAAAAAATATGAGTTCTGTTTTCTAGGACCAACCGAAAGTACGCAGTAATATACAATAGTATCAAATCCAAGAATGAGCTTGTAATCTTGGGCTACACGGTAAGCAGTTTTTGTCACAAAGAACTGCTAAAAAAAAATAGCTGAGTTTTTTGATACAACATGGTTTCAAACTCCTATAAAGTTGCTTTAACTTACTGAGACTTCTATATCTTTTGCAAAAGAGTGCCTGTTTTTTTTAAAGAGAATTTTGGGAAAATTTGATCGAAACTTTGACAAGTTTTTCTCCAAACTCACAAATGAGAAAATGAGAAAATGAATAATAACCAATTTTCCAAACAAGCAGTTCTTCCGGTATTGTGGCTAGGTGTATCTTCCACTCGCCTACTAGTACTACTCGCTTTTCTAGCCACAGCAGCAGGAGCGCAAGATATCTTAAGTGAAGTTTTCAATTTAGAACACAAGGATGGAATAAAAAATGATGGAACAAATTTTTTGTTTGATGCAGCTGAATGTGAAGTATCTCCAGAAAACAAAACTCAAAAAAATTGACGGATCTGTTTGTTAATATTGAAACTTCTCAAACAATTTGGAAACTAGATCCAACTGACGTTAAAAGATTCAGCGCATACCAGGATTGTTCGGACCGCAATGGTTGAATATCATACCCTGAAAAAGATTAAAATTCCCAAATCAGCTGCATGGAATTGCAATTGGACTCTGCCTAGTTTCAGAAATTGTTCAAAAAACAAGATGCGTTTGCAGTAAAAATATAATCGAAGATGGATGGCTTGGCCGATAGTGGCTGAAAAAACAGGGATATTCGATTCTTGAGGCGTTCATGTTTGAATGTTCTGAAAAAGCAAGTTTTCGCTACCACTAACATTCCTTCTGCTTTGGAGCCACGACACCTTCACAGGACAGATCAAAAACGACCACATGGTTTGACGCTTTTCCCATGGGCTGTTAGTAAGCAACTCCTGTGTGATAAAAATGTAGTTGACATTCTAGCCCCATGGAGATTAAGCGAAGGCTAAGTTTGTAACCGCGGAATTGCGGCGGGCGACGCGGAAGATAGCAAATCTGACAAATTTAGACCTTTAATTAACTTTAAATTTTTTTGAGTTGTTCTCCGTTTTCTTCTGTGAAGCTGTTATTTTTCTCAATCTGGTTGGCCTAATTTTCAGCCATCTGACTTTTTTTCTTCTATTCCTATTATACTTCGCTTTTTCATATCTAGAAAAAGCCAAGGATTTCGACTGGAATATTTTTAGAGCGTTTTTGACGGTAAACTCAACAATTGGTACTTGACGGTTGATATGATATTTGTGACCTTCTGATTACTGAAAAAAAAAACAAGAAGTTTCAACAATCATTTGTGGAGAGTGTTCTTTACATAACTTTCACGAATTGAAAATCAATTGAACTGTAAATTTCCATGTATACCTGAGTCATTCATAAATGCATTCATATGTATGAGCGCAGAGTTTTTGTTTTTTAAATCAAATTAAGTCCTTTTCCTGAAAACAAAACTGAAGAAAAATCTGAGAAAACTCTATAAAAATTTTCACTGCGTTTATTACCCTTGAAAATCAAAGAATAAAATTTAAATTTTTTTTTGTATTTTCATGGAACAAACTAACGGAAAAATATCAAATAACATATGACAATAAATTGAATGGAAACAACTTTGCTAATTGTCATCTAAATTTCAAATTAACAAAGCCAACATTTCCATAAGCTACCGCTGTTTTGTCTTTAAGGTACTGTGTATGAAAACACATCTTAAGTCTGAACTGAATTGCCTTTCTTAGAAGTTGAAGCGTTCGCGATAAAACTATTTTTCAAAATTTTGTTTTCAAATGGTAGAGCTTTCATACAAAATAATTTTCAAAAACTTATACGCTGGTAATAAGTTTTTCCAGTCTTTCCAAAAATGGTTTGGACTTTTCCAACCTGGTGAAAGCCTAAACTACAAAAATTTATACTTTGTTCAAATCTAAAGAAGAAGAATCGTATTTAAGCCGGTTACAGCAAGATTTCACAGCCCCATTCAATTGTTTTCCAGGTGAAACTGTTAAATTATTTGTTATTCCATCGAGTTAGACTACCTGATAACCTCCCTGACCTTCTGTTAACCTCCGTGACTGTAGAGGTGGCGCTTTCATTAGCAGCAACCTGGTGTTCAAAGCTAACAGTTTTTTGTTGGATTGTTTTTTTTTCAATACCACGTGGCGTTTTTTCAGTATACCTTTGAACTCCTGTTGAAAATTTTAAGTTTGATCACTTGCATCTCTTGAAGTTTTTTTTCAATTTTATAATTTTTGGTACAATTTAATCAATTTGTTTTTTTTTATGAATTTTATTTGTTTTACTGAATATAACGAACTCAGTTTTTCCACATCCTTTTTAACAAATTATTTTGAATATCTTGATAAATTTTTTTCATTAATGATCGAGTTGGTTTAGAGCTGCTTCTAAATTTTCGTTATCAACAAGGAGCTTTGTTTCATCTGCGTTCTGAATGACTCAGCAATATGTTGGTATTTGTTGGTTCAGATCATTAATGTACATGCTGATAATAGGTGATTCAAGGACTGTAACTTGTGGAACACCTTGAAAAAGGTTAATCCAATCTTATTCAAAGTTTTTAATTAATATTTTTTGCTGCCTGCTACTCTTACAAAATTTTCAATCAGATCAGTCAAACTTTTTGAGAAACAAAAATTTTCAAGTTTATTCTTTCAAAATAGTTATTGATGCAGTCAAATGCGTGTGAGAGTTAAAAAATGAAATAAGGCAGCATCACTTTTGTCAATATCAATATATTTTTGAAGTGATTCAGTACAGTATAACAGTGCATTTTTTGTTGAATATATGGTTTAGTTTTAAGTATACGACAATCCTTCATAAAGTATTCGTTCATCTGCTTTTGTAGAAATTGTTTTCCAGCGCTTTTGATCAGTTCTCCGGGTTTTGAATAATTTTTGATAAACGAATAAACTTATAGTTGTTTTTTTTGGGCTGGTATTTCACAGGGGGTTTTCCGTGATCGAGTTTCTCAGTTCACTCTTGCATTCTAAAGATGTAAAAAATTTAAAATTTAAAAAATTATGATTAGGTATTTTAGTTTGAGTGTATATAGAAGGTGCTCAAGAACTTCTTAGATTGGTTTGATTGGTTTTAATAAACTTCCTAATTTTGAAAATTTTTAATTTTGAAGTTCAATTTATAGCTTCGTTTTTA